GATGATAGGATATTGTGGGTGGGAGGGAGAGTCCCTGTCTCTTATACACATCTAGATGTGTATAAGAGACAGGTTTTGTTTTGTTTGTTTGTTTGTGGAAATGCCTGCAAAATCGAGTGCCCTCTCCTCCAGCCTCGATTTGCGAAAGTGGGCGGCGCGTTGGGACCCAGCTTCTTGGTTTTCTTTTTCTTGTCGTTATGTGATGGGAAGGGGAGGAAAACGAGGTAAACGAAGTGTTGCGCATCGAGAGTTACTGTAATGTGGAGCGAGATTGACAACTCGCGGTCCACTTGCGATTTACGAGATGATGAATCTACAGTAGTGGAGGGGGTACCAATCATACGAGATGATGAATCTAGAGTAGTGAGGGAGTACCATGGATTCGAGAGTAGTGGAGGGAGTACCAATCATACGAGATGTCGGAGATGATGAATCTAGAGTAGTGAGGGAGTACCAATCATACCTGTCGCCATGGGATTTGAGTGTGGGTGAATGAACGTTGTGCGCGCTTCGTTTAAGACTTGCAGGGATCCTTTGATGGAAGGTAGGTAATCTCGACGAGTTACCAATCTATATTAAGAGTGTGTTATATCTGTTGACTCTGTCCGCAGGGAATGCGCGATTAATTGTACACGCCGGCAGCCGTAAATGTCGATAAGTCGGGAGGTAATGTGAGGTTATATCGAGGGAAGAATAGAAGTGAATCAGATTTTAGTATGTAAGAAGAAATGATCCTCGTATGCGAGTACTACCGTTACGGTAGTCATACCTGTCTCGACGTGTTTCGCCGGCAGCCGTAGAGGTCGATAAGTCGGGAGGGGTGATATGAGGTCAATATATCGAGGGAACAATAGAAAGTGATTTTATGGTCGAATGGCTGTCGTGTGCGAGTACCCGTTATACCTGTCTCGATGTGATTTCAGCCCCGTGAATGATCCTCGTGCACGCTTGCTCTTAAGTCTTGCAGGCTTGCTTGGGTTGAGGGTAGGTAATCTCGACGAATAAATACTCTCTATTATCAGTGCCTCATGTCTGGTCGCAGCGTGTGCGCAATTTATGGCGCAAAATTGCAAACACAAGCATTGTGAAGATCAGTTGGATGCATTGGATTGTAGCTTCCGGCTATTGTACTGATGAATGCCAGTGAAACAGAGATCTTATTGATGAATTGCAGTGAGAGAGGGGAAGTAGAAACTGCGTTCGTGGGAGCTCGATGCAGGGATGTGAATCAGAAGATTCAGGGTGAGCAGGATTACGCAGAAGGGTTGAATTGCTATCGGGGGTCGATGCTGGAGGCCAAAGAAAGAAGGCTAGTTTCTGTACTCTGGGGAGTAGAGAGGAGGCGGAGACGGAGGATGAGGAGGAGAACTAGGGAGGAGGGGAGGAGGAGAACGAGGGTGAGGAAATGTAGTCGTTCACCAAATGAGTTATGATTTCGAAGCACGAGGTTGTGGAGGAGGGAGGAGGAGAAGTAGGGGGAAAGGAGATATGGGAGTACGTAAAACTTTGATTGAATTGAGATCATGAAAGGTTGAGGGTGGAAGATGGGGAGGGGAGGGGCTTAAGGAATGCACTTCGGAGCTATACCACATAGATGTTGATTCAGGATCCGGACTGACTACCGTCTTCCGCCGAACATAACGCACCCTTAAAATGAATGTATACAAGTTGTATTTCCGGCCATATACAGGCAAAATGAGGGTGTGTTGTGTTCGGGGGAAGGAATGCAGGTTAGAGCTACTATGTCATGTAGATAGTGGTTAGGATCAGACGCGACTAATCGCGATCGGGACTGATAAATCGATACCGCCAGGCCTTGGGGGAAGGGGATAAGGAATGCAGGTGAGAGCTATACCACGTGGGTGACGTGGATATTGGTCAGGATCAGACTCGACCAGTACTGCCAAGCTTGCTAGGAAGCGCGTATGAAGTTTACGACGATTGACACGTGGAGCGATGTGGTAGCCGGAAGTGGTTTTGTGGCACAGAGGCGCATATGCCATATGCTTACTTGGATGGTTGTCTACTTATGGGTGTGCGTACGAGGCTACGAGCTGATTAACTTGTCGCCACCTGTGCGTACGCTGAGCACTGTGAGCAATGCACTTCACAATCTAGCAATGTACTCTACAATCTCGCAATGTACTTGACAATTTCGCAATCAGAAATCTCGCAATCAGATTATAGTGTAAAGTTGTCAGCCAACAACCAGATCGAGAATCTCACAATCAGATTATAATCTCATTTGCACACGTGGCTATCGCTTACAATGAGCTGCACCCTGGGGCCTGGTGTGCATGCAAACCTCGTTCCCACAGGACGAGCTCGCTTGCAATGGTCGGCGATGTCAGAGTGTCAGAGTTGCGGACAACGACATATAGCCTCGCAATTAAAAAAACAACAACGATGAGAGCATTTCACGTGCAATCGGCTATCAACATGGCATGCAACCTCACATCCAACTCACGATGTCACTTGCCACGTACAATCAACGAGCTGATGACTTGTACAATGGACAATCAATTTCACTCGCACGAGTAAACCTACATTTCCAAAAATAAAAAATCAGTCTGCACTTAACACATCCAACAACTGACGACCAACAACCAACCTACACTACACGATCAACAATTAGTTACATTTCCACAATCAGCAATCAAACCAAATCTCGACAATCAACCTACACTTAAACAACCAACAACGAACAATCACCCTTATAAAAATAATAAAATCAACCTACACTTACACAAGGGCTAATTGCAGAAATACCCCGGTTTGCAAACGTATAGTAGCAACTTCACCGGTCCGCGCAGGTATGCTCGCAAACAAATATACCGGTAAAGTTGCAGAAATATCCTTTTCGAAAGTTTCTGTGCAGATTTACCGGCAGGTACCTCCTTTTTTGGGGGTCCCGTCGGCCTGGCCTGAGGCAACGACTCCCAGGCCCTCCTCGCCCTCCTCGCCGTCCTCGGGTCCTCTGTTGCAGAACCAAGTACAGACCGGTTTTATTTGTAACTGAAACGTTACGGACCCGGTCCGGTATTCCTGCATTGATACACCTCAAAATAGGCTGGGCTGTCCTTCGGGACATCCGTTAAAATTGGAACGACACAGAGAAGAGAAGATTAGCATGGCCCCTGCGCAAGGATGACACGCATCAATCGAGAAATGGTCCAAATTTTTATATAAAAAGGGAAAAAAAAAAAAAAAAAAAAAGGCTGGGCTGCGTGCAAACGTGCTTGTTTGTCACCATAGAGCGGTTAAGTTCCTAACGATACGTTTGAGAACCGGTATTTCTGCAATTTGCCCCTTACACAATCAACCATAGACTTACACTTGCGCAATCAACAATAAACTTACTAACCACAATCAATTTGCACTCGCACGTCTTAACCTACATTTCCACAATCACCAATCAACCTGCACTTGCACAACGAATAACGAATAACCGAGAACCGACAACCAACAACCAACCTATACACTACACGATCACCAAGTAGTGCAGTTCAACAATCAACAATTAATGGACCGAGAACCAAAAACCAACAACCAACCTATACACTACACGATCACCAAGTAGTGCAGTTCAACAATCAACAATCAATCCATTAAAAAAAAAAAATCAACAATCAACCTACACTTGCACAACCAACAACCAACAATCAGCCTACTAACACAATCAACCATCGACTTACAGTTACGCAGTCAACAATGAGCTACTTACTCGACCAACAATGAACCTTCAATCCGGCTTTACCTTGACGCATGTGACAATTGACCCGTGATTTCACGTGCAATCAATCTGTGATCGCATTGACTATCACCACGGTCTTCCTGGCAATAAATTTCCATATGTCCACCTCACTAGCAATGATGTTGCGGGAAAGCGACTTGCGGTCAGTCGGCAATTAAGGAGGGTTGAACTTGCAGCGTTGGATCTGCATTAGGAAGAGAAATAAAATTAAAAGGAATTTCACGGCCAACCCGGGCCCTGATCTATGCAAATTAATGACTGGCAAACCACAGACGAAGGTCCGAAGGATATTATGAACTGACGAAGGATATTATTAACTGATGAAGGATGTGAGCAAGTGGGCTTTCGATAGACTCACAGACTTGGTAAGGGACCCTGGTGAGATCAACACAAATGGACGCCGTCTAACGACTTGTAATGGAGCGGCAGGCTGCGTTACAGCGGCCAACGTGGAAGTCCCATCTGGCAGGCCAATGTGGTAGCCCACTTTCTTGCGATTTTTCCATTTTTTTAAGATTTTCGTTAGGGCAAATTGCAGATATTTATGTCATGCCATTGGCAAATACGCCGGCTGAACCTCCTTTTGCAACAGAGGGCCCACCTGCCTTGGAGTGCTCAGGCCAGGCAGATGGGGTCTCTGTCACGGAAGGAGGTACTGCGGCTACTGCCCGGTAAACCTACTTTGAAACTTTCCGAAAATGGTAATTTCTGCGACTCCCCAGGTAGATTTGTGGCCATACAGGGTTGGACTCCCATGGGCCAGTATTATCGGTATATTTGCTATGATACGTGTCCGAACCGGTATTTCTGCAATTTGCCCTTTTCCTTTCTCCAGTGTAGCTTTCAGTAACTTTTGCAATGCCTCCAGAGTCTAGACCGGTATAATTTCTACAATTTGATCATGTCCTTTCTGCACAGTGTAGCTTTTAATAACATTTGCAATGTGCAGCTCAGCTCCGCCTCGTACAAGGCAACGGACATTAGCTTGCCATCGCTCGGAGATGGAAATAGGAATCAGCAGAAACAGTAGTAGTTCTGCACGAGAGAGAGAGAGAGAGAGAGAGAGAGAGATGTCCCTGTGGGTATTCTCGGCAATACAATCGGCTTACATCACTATCATCTCGGGGCGCAACACATGTCAGTGAATAGTGTCTCCGGCTAAACGCAGCTTGCCATGTGTCTTTGTTACGAAAGAGCAGTGAATGATTTCTCGTTATGTGTGGGTAATGTGTGCCGCCGCTGCTGCCAATAACATATGTCTGACTGACTCTGACAAACTACAGTGAATGAGATTGGCAATCTTCAGATGCGTTTTGATTTGCGCTGGCTCTTGATTCTTCTATCTCCCCCCCAATCTCCCTTCCCCTGTCGGAGAACAAATACGAGTGCAAGTGACTTTTGAATCATGATGGGCCTGAACAATTTTAATTGCCTGACTAGTATCCGTTGATTCTTTTTTGCAGTTGTGAATTCAACAATGTCCATTAATTTTTTTTTGCAATTGTGAATCTTAACTCTTTTTGTCTTACGCTTGTTCTGTGGCGAATTGGGGTCTGGGAAATAAAGCAATTGGAAATGAGTGACCCATATCGGCAGGTAACGTGCGAGCTTCGCGGTTTGAAGGCAGCACTTTCAGAGGCAGTGTCTAAGGAGCGCTACGAGGAGGCGGTGGATGTGAGTACTCCGGCTTTGGCTCCCGCTAACGACTGCTCTCGAACATTGAGAATAAAATTTAATAAAATCTAATATTCCGTATGAAGTTTTAATTTTTGACTGAGGAAAAAGGTTTGCTCGGCGGTGGCTTGCTCGAGTCCTGGCTATGTTGAAAAAATGAAACATGAAGCCTGGCTTCTTTTCTTTTCTTTGCCCTCCTTTGTGATGAGTGCTCGAACCTTGACAATAAATCTAGTGTTTTGTCTGGATCTCTGATGTAGGGTTCTTAATTAAATTTTGTATTAAGGTTGAATTTTTGACTGAAAAAGGAGGAATTCCTGCTTATGAGTTTATGTTGACGAAAGGAAACATAAAGCCTGGCGGCCCTGGCCATTGTTTGTTGAGTTCGAATTGGGGGTCGGTGTGCTTGTCCGTCAGAATGTCCGTTTGGAATCTTCAGATTAGCAAACGATACAGAGAAAATTGGCATCACCCTTGGACAAAGATGATCCATCCCCCCCCCCCCCCCCCTCCCGCTCTCCCCCCACCTAAAAGAAAAGAAAAAGAAAAAGAAAATCTAAAGCAAACTGGTGCCTTGAGGAAAACAAAACAACTAAAATAAACACAAAATAAGGGGGCCCGGCACCGGCCTGCTTAACCTCAATGTAAACCAAGAACCCATGATGGTTACCACAACAATGAATGCAGACGGTTCAAAAAATATTAAATATTAATTAACCTATAGCAGTGTCGGCGGTCATCCAAAAGAAGGGAAGATGGAGAAGAGATGTCCACTGCTGGGGAAGTCCGACTTTCATAATCCAGACCGTTCAGACTTACCACCAAATTTTTATTTAAAGTCTAGTTACTCTAGCAAATTGAATTCGAAGTTCATGTAAGAAAAATGGCAGAAAAACTATTCCATGAAGCTTTAAATGAAGGTATTTGTGATTCGTGAAGAGAGAAAGAGATCCTAAAATTTTGTTATAGGTGAGGACATTGGTCATTATGGAGGAGCTTGAGAGGATCTTATAAAGAAGAAGCAAAAGGTCTTTTTGTTAGTAAACAAAGAAATAGTTAAAAGTATATTTCTATCGCTGTATATCAGATAATATCTTTATGTTTATCCAAAAAAATTGCCGTTTATGGACACAAGTATATCAGATATCTTTATGTTTATCTAAAAAAATTGCCGTTTATGGGAATGTTGCCAACGGTTGTGGAAATGTTGCAATTGACAGTGGGTCTGGCATGGGCTCTGTCATTGTCGTCCTTTTCCTGAATAGAACTAAGTCTTGGGTTTTAAACTTCTCAGCATTATTTTATGGTGTTCAGTGTTGACTATTATAATATTATTTTGTCCTTTCTGAGGATTTTTTTAGAGCATTTCCAGACCTACGTGTGGAGGTCAACTCTGTAGGCCCTGGGGTCTTTGTCCAGATTTTAGAAGTCGTGATATGACATGGGTACTCGTAGGTCGCCGGGCACATTCGATGTTTCTAACTACCTCTCTTAGGGCACACTCACAATAGCACCATCTTAAATGTGTCCAACCACGTTTATTGCCGGAGCTGTATGCATCTGGCTGCAATTCCTTCCAGAAGTAAAAAATGTTGGAGTATGCCCTTTATTGCCGAAATTGTCTGTATGAGTATGTGGTGTAGATTTGTCTGCGACCTATGATCTGCCAGCTCCTGTTTGATGTTTAAGATACTTTGTGTGTTGGGTTTCTGATGCTAAATGTGTACTGTACTTATTTCTTTGATTAATCAATGGAAAGACATGCCTTCAGGTAACAAAGCTTAGCTGTTATTTAATTTGGGTCATTGTGTGCACTTGCTTTCCGTGCACTGCCAGCTGAGCTTGTGCTGCACTAGTTGTGGCACCTTTCGTGTCATATCTGGCGGTGTACGGCCAGTCGTAATTTGGGGAACGATGTACCCTAATCCTTGGCAATGTCTGTCTCATTCCCAATTGCTTTCTTGGACACAGCTTCGGGACTTGCTGGAGAAGCTAGAGCTGAGGAAGCGAGTGCTTGAAATCTCTGCGAAGCCGCATACTGCATACAGAGTTGGAGATGTCGTGTTTCATCGTCGACATGGTAGGAAGATCTCCCTTCTCAACCTG